GATGTGATGTGATGTGATGTGATGTGATGTGATGTGATGTGATGTGATGTGATGTGATAAACTAAATATGTCTGATTTTCCTCTATGCATTCGTTGGGATAATGCAGACTGAAAACAATGGATTTTGATAAGATCAGTAATTATTTAATGGGCATGAGTACGTGACATTCGATGTGTCAACGTTACGTAAAATATCGTTTAAGATAAAGTTACATGACATTTAACGTGACCTAACGTTACATGATATTTGATATGACGCGTTCATGACGTTAAATTTGATGTGTGGTAACGTGACCTGACGTGGAGTAACGTAATGTGATGTAATATGTGCTTTATTCAGTTTTTCTTACTAACAAAATTGATCCTTCTTAAAGTTGTCTCGAATGCAAGTCTAACATAGAAATATGAATGAAATGCCACAAATTCCATCGAGAAAAAGTGAGATTTTGTACTTTTGCATTTCCATGTTAGCCTTGCATCCACGATACTTTTAAAAATGGTCCATTACCAGGACAGCATGACGGAGATCCATTTACAGTACAACACCCAATGAAGCTTGCAGGGTCGCCATCACGTGGACAGTGGCTCCTTATTGATGTTTGACTTAAGCAGGTGCTTGCTTCTCTGACACAGCAAGATGCCTGACTGTTTTTCACGCAGGAAATGGGCTTGTCACCGCTACAGTTGAGGGCTATGGAGACAAATTTTTGGGGTTAAGATTATTGCTAGTGTCGCTATAGACCATCTTTAAATTCCTAGCTTTTTTTATTATTTCATTATTACTAAAATAATAGTATTCAAGAAGAGAAAATATATTGTGAGAGATTTATATTTCATACATAGAAAAAAATTGCTATACTCTCTTTTTGTTCTCTCTTTATCTCGTTTTCTCTCTCGTTCCCTATGCCGGCTTCGCGTACACACACACATTCAGACTCGGCAGATCTTCCTTTGAATCTGTTCTCCGCTGTGTGATGGTTGTTAATAAGTTCTCGATATCATAAACTGTCAGCACATTCCACGATGGTTATTTTTTATAGGTGATATATCACCTATAATGTTCACCAATTGATGGATTGCAAGCATTCCCAATGAGAGTCAAAAGACAAAAGCATGGCTGCCATTGTGGCGCCGTTCTTTAATAATGGATGCCAATGAGAAATCTTTTGTTAACAAATGGCACCAAAATGGGCGCAATGACGTAACGTGCAATCCAAAAATAAAACCTACCTCTTCTGTAATGAGCGACAAAGCCAACATGGTTATTTGTCAAGTCAGACCTGAATAACAGTACCATGTGTCGACCCGTCGTAATGTAACTGGGATAAACGTATCGCGACGTCCAGGCTCCACACCATTTAGTACCAATGTTGTAAAATGGACACGGACCATCAAGCACGTGAACGTAATCACAATTACATTTCGATTTTGCGTTGGTACATGAAGCTGAGTGTTGKGTTATCAATGTTGTGAAGTTTATTTGTACCACATATCCCTCGGGTACAGTGATCCTCCATAAGTAAAACAACCCGTGAGGGTAGTACTCGGGATATCCAGGGCTTGTTATTGTTCCATTTTCAGCCGTGAGTATTGCATTGACAATACAATAATACAAATACAATAACTTTATTTATACTTGAATTACAAGATAGCAAGTACATGCTAATATCTCCAAGTTATAAATAACCTAAACTAAAAATTAAAATTACATGATGCTAATATAAAAATATGGATGTAAACAATGAAATAAATATATGTATATATGTAAAATAAAATTAAAATAGAATTATCCTCTACAAAAGGTACAACAGTCAATATCAAATTTGACTTTGGAAATTTCCAATTTAAATTTACTTAATTCGTGCAACAATCTCATGTTGTTTGGAAGAGAATTCCATAACTTACTACCCTGATAAGCCAAGGAATGAAGACCATAACTAGTGGTGTTTACTCTAGGTACTATAAGAATGTTATCACCCCGTAAATTAATGCTACAATTACGTAGTGTAAA